TCTAGGGGTCTCTGTGGGTCCCAATGCTTTTCTATGGGTCTCCATGGATCCCAATGGCTCTCTATGGGGTCTTTATGGGGTCCCAATGTTTTTCTATAGGGTCTCCATGGGTCCCAACAGATCTCTATAGGGTCTCTATGGGGTCCCAATGGTTTTCTGTGGGGTCTGCATGGATCCCAATGGCTCTCTATGTGTTCTTCATGGATCCCAATGCTTTTCTATGGGGTCTCTATGGATCCCAATGCTTCTCTATGGGGTCTCCATGGATCCCAATGGATCTCTATGGGGTCTCCATGGATCCCAATGCTTTTCTATGGGGTCTCTATGGATCCCAATGCTTCTCTAGGGGGTCTCCATGGATCCCACTGCTTTTCTATGGGGTCTCCATGGATCCCAATGGCTCTGTATGGGGTCTCCATGGATCCCAATGGCTCTCTATGGGGTCTCCATGGATCCCAATGCTTTTCTATAGGGTCTCCATGGATCCCAATGTTTTTCTATGAGACCCAATGCTTCTCTATGGGGTCTCCATGGATCCCAATGCTTTTCTATGGGGTCTCCATGGATCCCAATGCTTTTCTATAGGGGTCTCCATGGATCCCAATGGCTCTCTATGGGGTCTCCATGGATCCCACTGCTTTTCTATGGGGTCTCCATGGATCCCAATGGCTCTCTTTGGGGTCTCCGTGTATCCCAATGTTTTTCTAGGGGTCCCAATGCTTCTCTATGGGGTCTCTATGGATCCCAATGCTTTTCTATGGGTTCTCCATGGATCCCAATGCTTTTCTATAGGGTCTCCATGGATCCCAATGGCTCTCTATGGGGTCTCTATGGATCCCAATGCTTCTCTAGGGGGTCTCCATGGATCCCAATGCTTTTCTATGGGGCCTCCAAGGATCCCAATGTTTTTCTATGGGTCCTAATGCTTTTCTATGGGGTTTCCATGGATCCCACTGCTTTTCTATGGGGTCTCCATGGATCCCAGTGGCTCTCTATGGGGTCTCCGTGTATCCCAATGTTTTTCTATGAGACCCAATGCTTCTCTATGGGGTCTCTATGGATCCCAATGCTTTTCTATGGGTTCTCCATGGATCCCAGTGCTTTTCTATAGGGTCTCCATGGATCCCAATGGCTTTCTATGGGGTCTCTATGGATCCCAATGCTTTTCTATGGGGTCTCCATGGATCCCAGTGGCTCTCTATGGGGTCTCCGTGTATCCCAATGTTTTTCT